ATAAAGGAGCACCAGAGCAGGATAAAGGAGGTTTCAGGGCCCACCAAAGCTCGGAGGGCCCTTCAGGGAGCACCAAACCCCTGGGGAAAATGAATCCCCCCTGCCCTGTGTGAGGCAACCCCAGCAACAGGGAACTGTTCCCAGAGCCTGGGCTGCAGCGGTGGCTCCGTGCTGGCCCCGAAAACAACTCTCTGGAGAAAGCAGGTCACACCTACACTTCAAAGTGCCCCAGCAGCTGGAGCTGGGAACGGGCTCCAAGGGCTGGAACAGCCGGCACGGGGCAGCTCCTGTGGGAAAGGAGCTGAGGAGCCCGTTCCGATCCATCCCTCGGGAAACGGGATTCAGGGACACTTTCCCCCCACTCGGGAGGTCTCGGGGGGGCCCAGGGAGGCCGAGGGGTGCTGGGTGTCCCCTGGAACCCCCCCGGGGTGACCGGCAGGGCTTGGGGAACGTGGGATGAGACAGCAAATTAGGGCCGAAAGGAGCCGGGTTTGAACGCGGGTGAGAAGCCCGAGTTTAACCCAAAGGCTTTAATTTAAGCAATTAACCTAAATTACAGCCCTGGCTTTGCTGATAATTAAACTGAGATTAAGCAGCGCAGGTGAACCAGCGCGAGGGAGCTCGACTGGCTCTCCTTTCACAAATATGGGCATTTTTGCAAACTAAACACTCACAGACACGTCCAAAAGCTTCTGCCGTGTCTGAGGAGCTGCGTCTGGTGAAGGATTCCCAGGGGGAGGCTGGAGAGGGGCAGCAGAGCTGAGAGATGGAGAGGGACTGGGGGAAAGCTGTTGGAGCTGTCTCTGTTCACTAAAATGCTCAGATTCACTAAAACACAGCAAAAAGGCTCAAATTCCTCATGGAATGGGGGCTGGAGTCACATTTGTTGCCCTGACGGAGCCAGAACTCACCTCCTGATCCCAGAGGAGAGTTATTGCCCTGACATCAGCACGGTGCCAGACCCAAACTCAGCCAGGGCTTTAGTCCCAAGTTTAGGGCTTTAGTCCCAAGTTTAGGGCTTTAGTCCCAGGTTTAGGGCTTTAGTCCCGGGTTTAGGGCTTTAGTCCCGGGTTTAGGGCTTTAGTCCCAGGTTTAGGGCTTCAGTCCCAAGTTTAGGGCTTTAGTCTCAGGTTTAGGGCTTTAGTCTCAGGTTTAGGGCTTTAGTCCCAAGTTTAGGGCTTTAGTCCCAGGTTTAGGACTTTAGTCCCAGGTTTAGGGCTTTAGTCCCAGGTTTACAGCGTGGTGCAAAGGGTTCTCCTGCCTCTGGGGCTGGGCCTTGCACCCTCTGCTCATCCCGGAGGGAAGACACGAGGAGGGGAAGGGATGGAAAAGGATTCAGAGCCCGTCCAAGCTCTGCCAGGCCGGGGGGGCTCAGCCCTGGCAGGACCCGCGGTGGGATCAGGAGGAAAAGCTCCCCGGCAGCGAGAGAGCCCCGGGACCATCCCCTGGAGGAGGAAAAGGAGCGAATTCCCGCTCCGGAGCGGCGAATCCACGCCGTGCCCGGAGCCCCACGGGAGACACTCCCGCGGGAGTCACCTGGAAACCCTCCTTTGTTTGCCCAACACGGCCCAGGGCGGGGACCCCCCTTCCCACCGCCCCGGCCCCCGAACCTGCCGCTGCAGCTCCTGGCGCTGCCGGTCCTGCCTCCTGTAATTACCTGGGAAATTCCTTCCAGGTGAGCGACAACCGCATCACCTCCACCCCGGGGAGCGGGGATGGGGAGCCACGAATTCCCTCTCGCTGGGCTGCAGGAGCCGGGTGATTATTGCTGTGGTTAATAACACGCAGCCGCCGCGTTCTTTGGCCAAAAAAAGCCGAGTTTCTGGTGGAAAAGGAGCCTGAGGGGGGAGAGGGAAGCGCTGACTCATCGGGCTCCTGGGAACAGGGGGGGTTCCAACCCTGCACGCCCTGACTCGGCCACACGGGCTCCACACGTCGTGCTGGGAGAGGGGGGAAAAGACAATTCCAGGGGCTGGGATCCCTCGGGAGGGGAGGATCTGGTGTCCGGTGGGGAATTTCGCTGGGAAAACGTGGGATTGAAGAGCCTGTGGGGTGGTCAGAGGGAGGGGAGGTGGATGGAAGGGAGAGAGAAGCTCCCACCCGGGAGAAATTCCGTCTGCCTTTGAGGATCTCACGGGCACGGAATGGGTTTGGGTAGGAAAACTCATCCCATCCCATCCCATCCCATCCCACCCCCTGCCGTGGGCAGGGACACATTCCCCTGTCCCAGGTGGCTCCAACCTGGCCTTGGGCACTTCCAGGGATGGGGCATCCTCTGGGAATTCCATCCCAGGGCCTCCCCACCCTCCCAGGGAGGAATTCCTTCCCCAACTAACCTGATTTCCCCCTCTCTCGGTTGGAAATCTCTGTCTGTGGGACTGGAATCCCCACTTTGTGTGTGAGGGGGAATCCACCTCCTGCCTCCAGGTCGTGACATCCTCTGTCAGCTGGTGAGGAAAACCCTAAAGCTGGGCAAGAATCCTTCCAAAAATGCCTTTTGGACACAGCCCTGTGGTTTGTTGATCCATCTGCTTCCAGCTCCCGTGGGTGTGGAATGTCAGCCCCAACGAGACAAAAGCTGCAGGATTAAGCCCTTCCTTGCAATAAAACTCAGGCTGGAAATAAACTCCAAAACCAACCTAAAATCATTATTTATTTCCCCTCTTCATTTAAAAACCTCCATTTCGAGCCTTGTCTGTTGGACAGTGGGGGAAACGACAGGACACAGAATATTCCTGGGAATCTCCTGCTCCAACCAGAGACGGAAGGACAACACCCCCCACCGTGGTAATTCCTCAATTTTATGGGGATTCCTCATTATTGGATTATTCTTGTGCTGCAGCAGCTGCTCAGACCCACAGACAGCACGAGGGGAAGCTGTTCAGGGGGACACATTTCCAGTTTTCCCCTGTTATTTGAAGGAATTAAACATGGATCATCCTTCTCTGACCAACCTGCAGCACGAGGAGGTGCAGGAACCTCCTTCTTGTCCCCTCAAAATGAATTATTTTTTAGACATTTCTGTTTAATTTGTTACTCAAACCACCTGCAAAGGGGCTGTACCAGGAAAGGACGGATCCAGGATGTCTTTCTGTGTCCTCTAGGGAATCCTGGAGAGGGTGGATTCAGTTCTCTGGTGGATCCAAGGAGGCAGGATCCCAGTTGTGCTGGAAGAGCTGATGAAATCCTTGGGGAATGACCCCGTGTTTGTAAACTGCGTGTTGGGAAGAGCCCCGGAGCGCCCCATTTCCATAGGGAATGAATCCTCCCATGGAGGGTTCAAAGCAGTTCCCATTCCCACAACCTTCCCTGCTGTTTGTTCTGTTCCTGAGTGGGTTGGTTGGGTGTTTTCCTGCTGCCCAGGGAAGTCCCGAGGGAGCAGCACAGGTTGGGGACAGAGCCCGGATCTCAAAACGCTCCCAGGAACAAAAGGGCCTCCCCAAAACTCCTCAGTTCCATCCCGGAATTGTCCTTCCAAAGGCAGAGGGGAGAGCCCGGAGAAGGAGGATTTGGGGCAGAGATGAGGGAGCTGAGCTTTGATTTTTTGAGGGGTGGGAGCAAATTCCTGCAGATTCCCATGGTGGCTCGAAGGGGACCACGCAGGACATGGAATTATGGAATGGGATGGGATGGGATGGGAGGGACCTGAAACCCCCCCACAGTTCCACCCCTGCCAGGGGCAGGGACACCTTCCCCTAGAACAGGTTGCTCCAACCTGGCCTTGGACACTTCCAGGGATGGGGATTCCACGACCTCTCCGGGCAAATCTTGCAAGGATTTTATCACAAATCACATCTCAGAGACCCCCCCGGGTAAAACAATTCAGGGCAAGGGGAGTTCAGTGCAGGGGGAGTTCACTGCAAAGTTAATTTACTGCAAAGGGAATTTACTGCAGGGGGAATTCAGGGAAGGGGGAATTGAATTCACTGCAAAGTGAATTTGCTGCAAAGTGAATTCAGTGCAGAGTGAATTGAATTTGCTGCAGGGTGAATTTACTGCAGGGAGAATTCTCTGCAAAGTGAATTCAGTGCAGGGGGAATTCACTGCAAAGTGAATTTACTGCAGGGTAAATTCAGTGCAGGGTGAATTTACTGTGGAGTGAACTTACTGTGGGGAGAATTCTCTGCAAAGTGAATTTCCCGCAGGGGGAATTCTCTGCAGGGGGAATTCAGTGCAGAGTGAATTGAATTCTCTGCAGAGTGAATTGAATTTACTGCAAGGGGAATTCTCTGCAAAGGGAATTCAATGCAGGGGGAATTCAATGCAGAGGGAATTTACTGCAGAGAGAATTCTCTGCAAAGTGAATTCAATGTAGGGGGAATTCAGTGTAGGGGGAATTCAGTGTAGAGTGAACTGAATTCTCTGCAGAGTGAATTGAATTTACTGCAGGGAGAATTCTCTGCTGGGTGAATTTCCTGCAGGGGGAATTCTCTGCAGCCTTGGCCGTGCAACATTTCCCCGCCCAGCACCGACCCCTCTCCTGAAGCAGCAGGGTCTGGACTTTCCCAAGCCCTGCATGGGAACAAAAGAAGGGCTGAGAGCACTCCCGAGGGATGGAGTTTTCCCCAGGCAGAGGTGTTGAGTGACAGGCGCTTGGAACGGTGTTTTCTCCCCGTGCCCGTCGTGACTCATCCTCACCTTCCAAGGCTCGGGGAAGGCGACGAGTCTGGATGTCTCCAGAGGCAGGAGAAGGCGACAGTTATTCCCAAACAATCCCTGTTGCTGAGAACCTGCCTGCATTGTCTCAGCAGGGCGTGTGTGCGGGGTGAGTTCACCCTGCAGAATGCTGTCGGACATGCCAAGCCGAATTCATCAGAGGGGAGATCCACCTCATCCGACCCATCCCAGCCCGGCATAAAAGGGCTCTCCCCAGCCCGTGCACGGCACAGGTTCATCCCTCTCCTCATCCCGCCCACTCCTCGCTCCGGGCCAGCACCTCTGCTCCTCTATTCCTGCCGCAGCATCCATCCCAATCCCGATCCCAAAAACCCAGCCCGGCCATGTCTCGCCAGTCCACCGTGCGGATCCAGCGGGGCCGGAGCGGCTTCAGCGCGGCCTCGGCCGCGGTGCCCGGCACGTGCCGGACCAGCTTCAGCTCCTGCTCCGTCACCCGCCTGGGGGGCTGCGGCGCCGGCAGCGGCTTCGCCAGGGTCGGGGGGGGCTTTGGCAGCAAGAGCCTCTACAATGTCGGCGGCTGCAAGAAGATCTCCGTGGCTGGAAGGGGCGGGAGCTTCTACGGAGCCGGGAGCGTCTACGGGGGCGGCTTTGGCGTCCCCGCCAACCTCGGCTACGGGTACCCCGGCTTCCCGGCGGGGGGGATCCACGAAGTCTCCGTCAACCAGAGCCTCCTGAAGCCCCTCAACCTGGAGATCGACCCCAACATCCAAAGGATCCGCAAGGAGGAGAAGGAGCAGATCAAAACCCTCAACAACAAATTCGCCTCCTTCATCGACAAGGTGAGACTTGGGCTCTCCCCTGAATATCCTGCCCCGGGGGGTTTTTTTCGTGCTTGACGAGTGCATCAAGGAGGAATAGAAGCGAGGGGTGAGGCTGGAAGATGCCCTGGGAACTCCAGGGAATGGCACCTGTCACCCCGTGGTTGCCAGGAATTAATCACCTCCTTTAATCCTCCTCGTCCGCTGCTCGACGTCCCACGGGCAGCGGGGAAGGGAAGCTCCAGGAGACAATCCCGCCCTTCTGGAGACTTTTGCCTCTGTCCACTGAGCCCTGAGAACAGATTTTTAGCTGGTTAAAGTGAGATGCAAGAAACCCACCTAAAATGACCCAAAAAATTGGCAAAAGGGGAGAAGCAGCTCCTCTTGCTTGAATTCCCTCAGAGGCATTTAAATCCGTCACCAGCACCAGAATGTTTGGGGGTTTAGCTCAAAATAGCTCAAGATCTGATCCAGCACTGCCCATTTCACTGATGCACCAGAAATCTGCTCCCTTTCTGCTCTGCTTGAGCAGCTCCTCTTTGGCTCGGAGGAAAACGCTGCAATATTTTGGAGCTTTAGTGGGGTGGGGGAACTCTAATGAAGGCAAGGAGAAAACACACCTCAATAACGTTATTTTAATAAAAGAACAAGCCCCGCTTTGCTCCTTATCTGATTTTGCACACACTCCTCACACCAAATCCATGATTTAGCAAAGCAACGAAGGGCAAGCAAGAAAATCAGGGTGGTTCCAGAGTTTGTGGCACTGAGCAGGGTCCCTGCCCCCAAACAGCAAATTCTGCCCCTGCCAGGTGAGAATTGGGCCGTGAAAAGCAGCTGGAAGGAGAATCCCCCCCCCTAACCCTGAGCTGGTTCTGAGCCCCCCACAACCTCCCCCTCTTCCCGACCCTCTTTTCCAGGTGCGGTTCCTGGAGCAGCAGAACAAGGTGCTGGAGACCAAGTGGAGCCTCCTGCAGGAGCAGGGCATGAAGACGGTGAGGAACAACCTGGAGCCGCTTTTCGAGACCTACATCAACAACCTGAGGGTGCAGCTCAACAGCCTCCTGAGCGACAAGGGGCGGCTGGAGGGGGAGCTCATCAACACCCAGTACCTGGTGGAGGACTTCAAGAAGAAGTGAGTCTCAGGGGGCTGGTGGGTGCAGCCTTTCCCCACCCTCAGACCAGCTGGGGGGGGATCCAGGGGAGCCCAGCAAAGCCAGGGATTCCCAGGGATGTTTTTTTTCTCCGGGAGGAATTTTCTCAAGGAGAAGTTTTCCCAGTAACGGGGTAACACATCCAAACACACCAAACGTTCAGGGGGTAATTTAGAGCAGGATCAAAGGCTCATTAACTAAATTGCCTCCTGAGAGAGAAAACAACTGCACGGGGAGTTTCAGGGCAGCACGTTTGGTTTGCTGAAATCAGCAGCAGGAGAGGATGAGTAATGGCCAGAAACGAGTGGAAAATGATGGATCTGCTCGAATGGGTTTGATGTCTTGTTTTAACTGGCTCGGCTTCGTGGTCTCTGCTCCGGGAGAAAAGAGCCTCGTATGCAAAACGCTCTTGAGGAAGTTCATTCCTGCCAGGTAAAATCACCTCCCTCTGCTCCTGCCCAAACAAATGCTCCTCCTGCCTCCCTGCCCCAGGTACGAGGATGAGATCAACAGGAGGACCATCGCCGAGAACGAGTTTGTGACGCTCAAGAAGGTGAGGGAACGTTCCAGAACACCAAGGGACGGCTGCCTGTGGAGCTTTAACTCCCCCGCCTAGGCACAAACCCATCCATAGATCCATCCATTCGTATTCCAGTCCCCTTTATTTTTATTTTTTATGGTTCTTCCCTGGAGCGTTCCTGCAGCTGTGCCTGTTCCTGGTTTGCTGGTAGGGGTTTAACCCACCCAAAAATCTCTCGTCCCCCAGGATGTGGATGGTTCCTACATGAACAAGGTGGAACTACAAGCCAAGGCAGATGCTCTGACTGAAGAGATTAATTTCCTGAGAACCCTCTATGAGGCCGTGAGTCCAAAACCACCCCAACCCTCCTTAAGAGCTTCCTCTACCCCCATTCCCCCGAAAGCCCCAGATTTCTCCCCCGGGGAGATGCCAAATCCTTTCTCTCTCTGGGGCCACACCTGAGCTGTTGAGATCCCAATCTGCAGCCGCCTCTCCCTCGCCCGGGAGCAGGAAAAGGCCTCTCCCGAGGAATCACCTCCCTCCCCGTGTGCTTTGCAGGAGCTGTCCCAGATGCAGACCCAGATCTCCGACACCTCGGTGGTGCTGACCATGGACAACAACCGGAACCTGGACCTGGACAGCATCATCTCCGAGGTGAAGGCGCAGTACGAGGACATCGCCAACCGCAGCCGCGCCGAGGCCGAGTCCTGGTACCAGACCAAGGTGAAGGGCCCGGGGGGGTTCCGTGCTCCGACCTCCACGTCTTGGCTGGAATAGACAGAGACAAACCCCGGCTCTTCCCAGAAAACCTCCTCGGAGGTCCCGTCGCACAGCTCTGCTCTGGCAGCGGGGCCGGGATCCAGGAGGGGCTCCGGGACGGGCTCCCGTGGGCTCCAGGAGGGGCTCCCGTGGGCTCAGGGAGAGGGTCCCGTAGGCTCCAGGAGGGGCTCCTGTGGCTCTGGGAGGGGCTCTGGGAGGGGCTCTCGTGGGCTCCGGGAGGGGGTCCCATGGGCTCCGGGAAGGGGTCCCGTGGGCTCCAGGAGGGGCTCTCATGAGCTCAGAGAGGGGCTCCTGGGGGCTCAGGGAGGGGGTTCCATGGGCTCCAGAAGGGGGTCCTGTGAGCTCAGAGAGGGGCTCCCATGGGCTCCAGGGGGGGCTCCCATGGGCTCTGGGAGGGGCTCTCATGGGCTCTGGGAGGGACTTTCATGGGCTCCGGGAGGGGGTCCTGTGGGCTCAGGGAGGGGGTCCCGTGGGCTCAGGGAAGGGGTCCCGTGGGCTCCAGGGGGAGCTCCCATGGGCTCTGGGAGGGGCTCTCATGGGGTCTGGGAGGGGGTCTTGTGGGCTCCAGGAGGGGGTTCCATGGGCTCTGGGAGGGGCTCCCGTGGGCTCAGGGCGGGGGTCCCGTGGGATCAGAGAGGGGCTCCTGTGAATCCGGGAGGGGGTCCCGTGGGCTCCGGGAGGGGCTCCCGGGGTGGCTCCAGAAGGGGTGGATTTTGCCCTGACGGGTCCCTCCCCCCGGGGCAGTACGAGGAGCTGCAGGCCACGGCCGGCAGGCACGGGGACGACCTCAGGAACACCAAGCAGGAGATCTCCGAGCTCAACCGGCACGTGCAGCGGCTGCGCTCCGAGATCGACAGCGTCAAGAAGCAGGTGAGGGAGGGGCAGAAAACCCCCCGGCTTCGACCAGTTTAACCCCTGACTGACCAGGGAAAGAAAGGAAAAGGTCAGAGCCAGCCTGGGAATATTCTTCTAGGTTTGATCCTTTTCTGCTCAGAAGGAGAACTGGCACTAAAACCAGTCGAGCTGAGGGTGCTGGGATAAAGCTGAGGGTGCTGGGATAAAGCTGAGGGTGCTGGGATAAAGCTGAAGGTGCTGGGATAAACCTGAGGGTGCTGGGATAAAGTTCAGGGTGCTAGAATAAAGCTGAGGGTGCTTAGACAAAGCTGATGGTGCTGGGATAAAGTTGAGGGTGCTGGGATAAAGTTGAGGGTGTTGGGATAAAAATGATGGTGTTGGGATAAAACCTGGTGGTGTTGGGTTAAAGTTGAGGGTGTTGGGATAAACCTGGTGGTGTTGGGATAAAGTTGAGGGTGCTGGGATACCCCTGAGGGTGCTGAGACAAAGCTGATGGTGCTGGGACAAAGCTGAGCATCCTGGGATAAAACCTGGTGGTTTCAGGGGAGGTGAAGAACGGTCTGGGTCTGGTGTGGGGAGCTCAGGGGCGGGTTTGTGTCCCCCAGTGTGCCAACCTGAAAGCCGCCATCGCCGACGCCGAGGAGCGCGGGGAGCTCACCCTCAAGGACGCCAAGGCCAAGCTGGCCGAGCTGGAGGACGCCCTGCAACAGGCCAAGGCTGACCTGGCCCGGCAGCTCCGAGAGTACCAGGAGCTCATGAACGTCAAGCTGGCCCTGGACATCGAGATCGCGACCTACAGGAAGCTGCTGGAAGGGGAGGAGTGCAGGTGGGGGGACACACGACCCTTCCCGGCGTTTGGGGGGCACAGGGGTGGGGGCACTGGGGGGGTTCAGCGTTTCTGGAGTGCTGAACGAAGCTTTAAGGGGGGCAGAGAAGGGGAAGGTTGTCCCGGATAATGGAAATAACAAAAAACCCGCCCCATTAACTACGCCGCGATTTTATTTTTCTCCCCGAAAGCCCGCAGGAAATGTGTCCTGCTGTTCCCCCCCCAGTCTCCCCAGACTCCTAACCCTCTCCCCTTGTGTCCCCTCCCCGAACAGGCTGGCTGGAGACGGCGTCCCGGTGAATATCTGTAAGTCCTCCAAACCCTATTTGAACATTCCCGTGCCCCCGCGCCCGCAGACACTGAAAGCCTTTCCCTTCTCCTCCTCCTCCTCCTCCTCCTCCTCCTCGCAGCCGTCACCAGGACCACCGTGGGCTCGGGCTACGGGGCCGGGAGCAACCTGAGCGTGGCAGGGGGGATGTGCGGCATGGGCAGCGGCTTCGGCTGCGCCCCCGGCCCCGGGGGGAGCAGCGCCCTCGGCGCCGGCAGCAGCTCCAGCGTCAAGTTCGTGTCCACCTCCTCCACCCGGAGAAGCTACAGGAGCTAAACCCCCTCCCTGCAGACGCCGTCACGCGCCAGAAAACCCCCCTTTCCCCCCCAAAACTCCGGTGCTGGGGCGTCGGCGGGGTCGGCAGAGCGAGGGGCCGCCTGCCCCCCCCCAAGCCTCGTCCCACAGGAGCCCCACTTTAGGAACTCTTCTCTCTCCCAGCTGGCCCCGGGTTGGGCTCAGCCCCGGGGCCGTGAGTCCAGCTGGTTTAAATTCGCTTGGCTCAGCTCAGCAGGGTTTTTTTGGCCGGATTTTGTACATAAAGTGTGTCTCGTCCCGTGACCGTTCGTCTCTTCTTCGCTCGCCCGGTGTTTGTCTGAATAAAACATGCACGCCTAATTTATTCCATTGCGCGGGGCCTTTTAATTAAAGGGGCGCAGCAGCAAATGCAAATGAGGGTAAGGAGCGCTCTGCCCCGGGCCCTGCCCAGTTCAAGGCTCCGATTTTTGCTCCTCGCTCGGATTTTAGGGAATTTCTCCCTCAGCAGCCAGAACACGCCGGCACCGCGGAGCCCCCGGGGGGGGGTTGGACGTGGATTTCAATATTCCGGGGAAAAAAAAACCCGAGAGCCAAAGGCGGGACACGCTGAGGCAGGAGTCGGGCACGGGGGGAAAGGTCGGAGCTGCACTTGCTTCCAGCCCGTCCCGGATCCCGGGGGTTGGATCCCGGGGGTTGGATCCCGGGGGTTGGATCCCGGTGCCAGGTGTGGGATTTACCTGCACAACCCCCTGACGGTGGGGAAGTAATTCCCAGGGGAGTCAGAGCGACCACACAGCTTGTTCTGGGAGCCCTGTCACCCTGGGCTGTCCCGGCAGAGCCTCCCAGTCCTCCCAGAGCACTGGTCACACTGGTTCAGGTGACACTCGCTCTGCTTTGGCTGCACACGGGGTGGAGGATCAGCTCCATGTGCAGGATCAGCTCCATGTGCAGGCTCAGCTCCATGTGTAGGATCAGCTCCATGGGCAGGATCAGCTCCATGGGCAGGATCAGCTCCATGTGCTGCTCCACAGGAATTATGGATCATGCCCAATCCATAATTCAACACCCTGCTCTGACTTAGTTGTGTTTGTCCAGTGGATGCAAAAAAAAAACACCAAGAAAAGGGTTTCTCTCTGGGGAGTGAAAAGTCTTCAAGATCCAATGTTTCTCCCCATTTTTAGGACGCATTGGAGACGAGGTTTTGCTTTGGGAAGGAGGGCAGAGAACCCAGAGGAGCTATGGGGGTTTGAGTTGTGGCTCTCACTGATGGGGAGGAAATAATTGAGAAGTCAAAGCAGAGAAACTTGTGGCTGGAAAAGCTGCAGAGGGCCAGAGTCCTGCTGGAACAGGGGCTGGACCAACGGGAGCCGCTGGAGGGAACATCCCAGCCCTCCCCCCGTGTTTCCAACGGGGCCAAGGGAGGAGCGGAGAAGCTCTTTTAGGAAAATCCTCCCAGATCTGGGGAAGTGGCAGTGCTGGAATGACAGAGTGGATCGAGGGTTTCCTTCCAGACCAGAGGTTTCCCATCATTTTCTAGGATGCTCCAAACTCTGCAGGTGTATCCCTGAGGAAACCTCATCTCTGAAAACTCACAGACCTGGCTGTGGGGCTGCTGTGGGGCTGCTGTGGGGCTGCTGTGGCTCTGTTGGGGGGCTGCTGTGGGCTGCAGGGAGGTGCCACCCCCTGCACCCACAGCCAGGGTGTAGCAGAGGGATGGCAAAGCCTTTGGTCCAGCCCAGGAGAGCTGGGACCAGCACGGTTGTTGTCCCAGGGCATCACAGCTCAGGGGGCACAACCAAGACCCGGCTGCCCCTGGTCACCACCCCCCTGTCCCTGTCACCACCTCCAGCTGTCCCTGGTCACCACCTTCATCTGTCCCTGTCACTCCCTCCCTCTCCCTGGTCACCATCTCCATGTCCCTGGTCACCACCATGTCCATCTGTCCCTGTCACCCCCTCCTT